AAATCGATTAGCAGTGTTGACTTATTGAATCGATTTTCTTTTAGCCATGTGAAAGTAGTGTAAGTTATCAAAAGGGATATATTTTAATACTTACATAATCGCTACATAATATAAAACAAAGTCGCTTTCTCTGTCCCTATATCCCTATGTATGCTTAAATCTTTAAAACTACGCAACTGATTTTGATGCGATTTTTTTTAGATAGAGTGCATCTTTACTTATTATATCCTTTTAACGATTAAAAGTGTGGACGTTATAGTTTCCTCTTCGAAATCAAGCTCAGCTCCGGAGTGATACCACGGCCTCTTAGAAAACCGGCGTGAAACAACCAGTTTCGCCGTGTTAGTAAGTTTACCGGAGGCCTAATCCTTGCCCTCCTAAATCCCTAAATCTCTGAAACCCTTTTTTTTTAATGTAATAAATCGGCAAACGAGCAGACGTATTACCTGATGGTAAGCAATCAACGCCGCCCATGGACACCCGCAACGGAGGAGTTACGAGTGCGTTGCCGACCTTTTAGGGATTAGGGATTGGGGAAGGGTCCGGGAAGGGGAAGGATTGGGCCTAATCTCCAAAAGGCCAGTAACGCACTAGCAATTTCTCTGGTTGGTGTTTATGGGCGGCGCAGATTGCTTACCATCAGGTAAGTGCTCCCATACCTACCTATCGCTACATATCACACAGCTTGCTACACGGAGTAGTAACAGCTGTCTGCTGTCTACTAATCATCATCATCATCAGCCTATAAGAGCCCACTGCTGAGCAAAGGCCTCTTCTCACACGGAGAAAGTTTGAACATTAACCACCACGCTTGCTCAAGACGGCATGGCGATTTCAAACCTTATAATTAGAAATTATAAGTCCAGGTTTCCTCACGATGTTTTCATTCACCTGTATCCGACTCAAAAACAAATAGGTCACATCTACAATGAAATTTGACCTCTATGACCGTGCACTAGATTACAAAATGCCGTTACTAATTATATATTCTTGTCGTTGCTTTGACATAAGTTTAAAAGGATTGGGTCACTAATAATAACCTCCCTTTTTTGAAGTAGGTTAGTCGGTGACCTGTTCTTGTAAGTAGTGTCAATGACCTAATGACCTTGGGTTTATAAAAACTTATAACGTTTCATACTTAGAAACTAATATCCTAGTATATCTATACTAATATTATAAAGAGGTAAGTTTGTATGTTTGTATGTAGGGGGTAATCTTTGGAACTGCTGGTCGGGTTGCCTGAGTTCTTTCACTGATAGATAGCTACAATGTTCTTGAGTGCTATAGGCTACAAAACATCACGATGCAAGCAAATGGAGCTGAGCAGTGGGTGATACCGCGTGAGAGTCTGTAGCTAGTTTCGTATATAAAAAAAAACACGTGGCCACACTCTAGGATATTCTCTTGTGTCGTGGGTGCGTTTACAAACATAAAATTTGCAATTTCAATCTTATATTTAGAAATTATAAGTCCAGGTTTCCTCACAATGTCAGCCCTCACCGTATGTCAGTGGTGTCTAAACATCATAGACTTAACTCGGAAAAGGTCACATTGGTGCTTGCCAGGTTTCGAGCACCCTCATGCATGAGAAGCGGGCTCCTTAACCTTCGGGCCACCACGTCCGATGCTGAAGAAGCGGTACGTTATTGTGGTTGATAAGGTAACAGCTTATACAGGCTTATTATTGTGAAGTAACTGCCTTTTTGTTTTTCTTTTGTCAGGGGAAAATCATCAAATGACTTCTCCCGCCCAGGGTAAAGAGAGTGTCAGACTCTTACTGACTAAAAACCCCCCGTTCCTTCTCCTGCTCTGGGCCGAGGCCGCGGTGACTCATTGCGCTTACCCCGCAACCCCGGCTGATCATCAGCCCTATAGGGCCCCGTCTGTGGTGGTCTATTGGCTCTTTGAGGGAACTGTCTGGTTCTGGTCGGGCGGCGAGCTACCCTTACTCGCCGTCCGCAGACCCGCGGTGAAGTAACTGCCCATAGTTATATTGTGGCCCATTGACCTCAAATTCTTTATACTTCCGAGTTTTAACCAATAGCTATATATAGAGTGTTTGTATTTTTGTATGAGTGAAAGAATAATATTCTAGAAGTTTTCTTTGTATGTTGGTTGGTAGTTACAAATTTTTGTTTTTATTTTTACAATTAAATTCATTCGAGTATGATTTAAAAATAAGGATACTTTTAACGATAAATTGAATTTAAGACTTAGTAGTTTTAGTGGTTTTGTAGCAAATCGAACAGCAAAAAATTGTTAAAACAAACAAAATTATGACGTCACAATTTTGTTATCTCGTAAAAAAGTCGTTTAAGCCTATAAGTGGCCACTGCTGAGCAAAGGCTTCTTCTCACACGGAGAAGGTTTCAGCATTAATCACCACGCTCAAGGCGAGTTCAAACTTACTTAAAATTATAAATTATGAATCCAAGTTTCATCTTTATGATTTTCTTCACCAATTTCAGTAGTGTCTTAATAAACTTAACTTGTCACATTGGTACTTGCCAGGCTTCGAACACATGCATGAGAAGCGAGTGCCTTAAAGTCTCTTTTTTTTCAAATTTGTTTCCTAGTAATGGTTTACTTACTATGTTGTATGTTGTATGTTCTGTTACCAAGAATGGTAAGCACAAAAATGACTTAAATATGAGAATTATCCATCCTATTATATAGAAACTTTATTTCATCGAGATTCGCAGCTAATTTAATTTTGCTTCTATTCCATAAATCTGTTTTTGCAATTGCAAAAAATTCAAACACATGACAGAAAGAAAAGAAGAAAGAAAGAAAGTAAAAGTATTTATTTGCGTCTAGGACGCATATAAGACATAGATAAAACAAATGTTTAAACACAAAAACAAAAAAAAAACATGTTAATACAATATAAAAAAGAGTACTATAAGGAAAAAATATGCGTCACAAGCACGCGTAATGGCCCACAATTAATGACACATATTAGATAAAATAAAATAAAAAACACAAATATTTGGAACACTCTGTACTTGCAGTCGCTATTACCGAAGATGTTTATGCAATTAAAAAGTTAGCTCGTCGCTTTTATTACAATAGCCCGCGGGCAAAGCCGGTAATAATAACTAGTAAATTATTATGCTGTAATATAATCTATAATTTTGCTACTATTGTATAGAGATAATGACTTTTTGTCAGTTTGTTTGTGGCGCACGTAGCCTCGAAACTGCTGGATCGATTTTGAAAAATCTTTCACTATTACATATTTCTTTTTTTTACCTTCCGATATTGTTACTAGTAAGACCTTCTTTTTGCAGTAGATTCTATTAATGTATGTATTAGGTGAGTAATTATGCAAGGCTAAAGAAGTTTACAAGAAGCTAGTAAGTGGCTATATATTTAATAGCAACAAGTTTTTTTTATGGTATTAGTCGGCGAACGAGCAGACGGATTAAGTACCTGTTAAGTGCCTGTGTGGGCGGAATTGGGCCTCCAGTAACCTCACTCACACGGCGAAACACAACGCTGTCATGGTTGTTTCACGCCGGTGTTCAGTGAGGCCGTGGTATCACTCCGGTCGAGCCGACCCATTCGTGCCGAAGCTTGGCTCTCCCACACTTTTATTCCGAAATGTATAAAAAATCTATATTTTTCATTTATTTATAAACGATTTTATAGTTTTATCTTCTTATATTTTCATCAAATAACATAAGTATTATAAGATATAAACATCATTCTGAAAATGGAATACAATTTATGAAAATGGAATTCCTTTACAATCATCTGTCAATGAAAAAGTACTTCCCTAGAAATAATAAATTATGCTTATTGAATTCAAAAATACATAGTCAAAACGATGCAATTTTGTAACTGTGAATATATACAACCAAATTTTCACTGTAAGTGCCTACCATAGATAGATAAAAGATTAAATACTCTTTATTTTTTGTGCTTTTTGTTATTAATTTTATTTTAGTTAACACTTAAATTATTGTACCTTAGTTAGTTTAGATAATTGGTTAGTTATTTTCTTATTTTTTTTTTTGTATTTTTGGTTTCTATGTGTGTGCGCTTGCGCAGAAATAAATGTTTTCTTTTCTTATTTTTCTTTTCTTTTCTACCTACTTACATTTTTTATGCGGGCAAAGCCGCAAGGCACGGCTCGTATTACAAATAAACTTGGTCGGTACGTGTTGCAACCTACATATAAAAGTAATAATAATAGGTTTTCTTACATAACTTGTACTGTTAGTTGAATTGTAAGTATATATTGTCGAATGAGCAGCTCAAATTTGTAGGGCAAATAATTATTGAGGGTTTTCAATGTGTTTAGCCCTATGTATGCTTAAATCTTTAAAACGACGCAACGGATTTTGAATTTTTTTTGAATATATAGTGTAATTGAAGTGGATGGTTTTATGTCAACCTAGCAGCTCGCCCCTGTTTCACACGAATATCCAACCGATAGGAATTTCCTGACTTCCCCTATACTTTTCTAAAATTAACGTTAAATAACATAAAATCCTTTACCTAACAATAATTAAACTTAACAAAAAAAGAATTGACAAAATTGTTCCGAGCGTTTTGAGTTAAGCGCTTACAAACATATTTTGCCATTAATTTTTATGTTATCAAAGTCAAAGTCAAAATCATTTATTTCAATTAGACCAATACAGGCACTTTTGAACGTCAAACAAAATTTTAAAGATATAAAGTGTCAGTCTGTCGGTCAGTCCTCTTAGTGAAGCTATTCGCTCGTTTCAAAGTGTAGATTCCGATGGAGAAGAACGAGCAAGAAACTCCATGGTTACTCTTTTTAAATCAGTGTGACATAAAAATTCTTTGATACATTATTTAGTTGGTTACTTATAGATAACATTCATTTAATAGTGGAGTCATTTATTATTAGAATTACTTATACCTTCATACATAAGAAGGAGACTTTAACAAGAGTGATATATCACCACAATAAAAAAAATAAAAAACAAAAAATGGTATTTATGAAAAAAAAAAGTTAAAAAACTTACCAAAATCGCCTTGTCCGGACAGATGACAGAAAAAAACAAGCACTATAAATGTCACTTAGTCTTTTTAGTTTATTTTTCTGTTATTACTCAAAACATTTGTTCTAAAAAAACACAGATTTTACACTCACGATTTCACATTATTTTCTATTCAAAAAAAAACAAAACACACCATTAACAATTTATTAGATATTATTATTTTAACCAAAATAATAATCGTAAAAATAGAACACTATATAAATGATTACAGCGTAGAATGCGAATTTAAAATATAAATAAAAAATGTCTTTTATATACAGGACGATGTTTTGGGTGAAACCCCTTTGATTTTGTGTATTTTTATGCATTTATTAAAGATTTGCTATCATTTTCCCTGGAATTACACATTGGGTTTTATTGTTTATGTTTTTCTGTGTATGGTTCTCAAACAATGTTGAGAATTCTAACACAATAGAAGCTAAATATTTAATATGAGGTCGCGAAGTTTATTTATTTCGTTATTGTTGTGTTTTGGTGGGTTTTCGAGGTCCTTTTTATTATAACCGGGTATTACGTAAGAGTTTTTAAATAGTACTTAGTGTATGGCATTGTCACCCCAGCCACCAACATTCAAACAAATATTTTTTTGGCGAAAAGTGGATACACTGTCCTAATAAGGCTTATTATCTCCTCAAGGAAAACCAGGCGATAAGTTTATAAGTAAAAACCTCGTAAAAAGATTCTAGAATAGCTTGAGTTATAAATCGAAACCACAAGATTAACATTTCAAATTGAAGGTACTTATAAAAAAGAAATAATATTCGCAATAAAAAATTTGGCAAAATACCAAGGTTTTAGACGAAGTAAAAGCCTGCTTATACATATATCTATAAACCACACAGTCACGTAATAAAAAGCCATCAAACGGATTACCATAAAATCTCACGCAAACATACCTACACACATCTAAAACACACTTACATCCCGAAAAAATAAAAAAAACCCACCAAAACACTTAAAATAAACACAAAACAAAAATAAAAGAACACATACACAAAAAAAAACAAACCACACGGATTTTAAAAATGGAAACTCAGTATTGAAGTTATAAAAGAAATGAAATCGTGTCTGTGACCGTCGCGTGCGCAATTCCAACTGGTGGGTTTGCGTGAAGGGGAGGCGGGAGGGGGGATCTAGTGTATCAATGAGGCAATGGTGACAGGCCGTCAAGGCTGTATCGAATATGTTGTAAGCCGATTGATGGTAAAGTACATGTAGTGTATTTAGATTGATTTTATGTCATATAAGGCTTTAAGTTTTTCCTCGTCACTACATAGTATAAAACAAAGTCGCTTTCTGTGTCCTTATATCCCTATGTATGCTTAAATCTTTGAAACTACGCAACGGATTTTGATGCGGTTGTTTTTTAATAGAAAATATAGATAACATCCATGAAATAGCGGACAAATTTTGTATTAGCATTGCACCCGTGCGAAGACGGGGCGGATCGCTAGTCCAAACTACCTAAATAATAGTATTACCTCGAAAGTAACTCTGTCTGTCTGTCTTTTCTTCACGCCTAAACAACTGAACCTATTTGTGTGAAATTTGGTACCAACATAGTTTGGAACCTGAGAAAAGACATAGGGTGGTTTTCAAACCAAAAATCTGCATGCAGTCACTTATTCTAGTCGAACAAAGTTGCGGGAAAAAGCTAGTAATATTGTAACGGGAAAGTTTGTAACTAAGGATGGATGTTTGTTACTCTTTCAAGCAAAAATTACTCAATTGATTTTAATGAAAATTGGCACAGAGATAGTTTATATAGTCTAGATTAATATATAAGCTTTTTTATCTGGATAATGTGGGTGAAAGGATAGATATCTATACTACATACTTAATAATTAATACATGTACTTAATAATAATATTATAAAGAGGTAAAATTTGTAAGCTTGTAAGTTTGTATGTAGGGGTAATCTTTGGAACCGGTGATCGGATTGCCAAAATTCTTTCACTGATAGATAGCTACAATGTTCCTGAGTGCTATAGGCTATAAAACATCACGCTACGATTCAATGGAGCTGAGCAGCGGGTAAAAATGAGCGAGAGTAGCTAGTAGTAAATAACCACAAGGCAACATTCACTTTCTGCGCCACCCATGGACACTCGCAATACCAAAGGAGTTCTAAGTGCGTTGCTTTTTGCAAGTTATTAGGGATTTTGAGTAAGGAGAAAAAAATAGATTGGGTCTCCGGTAACCTCACTCACACGGCGAAACACAACGCTGTGGTTGTCTCACGCCGGTTTTCTGTAAGGCCGTCCCACACTAGGATTTCCTCCTGTGTCGTGGGTTTGTTTCTTGTGCAAGAAAATAAAACATAATTCTTTCTCTTATAGTGTTCTAAGCTAGGTTGTATTGATAAGTTTATTTTTTTGAGGTGTTGGCTAGACGGCCCAGGTTGAGATTTTTTCCTGTGTCGTGTGTAAACAAACATACAATTTCACATACACATCACACCCAGACCCGGAACAATAATTTGTGGATCACACAAAGAGTTGTTCCGTGCGGGTATCAAACCTGCGACAGTTGCCCAGTCACCGCGCCAACCGTGCAGTCAAAAACATTCGTTATTAAAAATAGTATAGTAATAAAAACATAATTAATTCAATTTATAAGCAAAAAAAAATAATTATTTTGAGTACTTAATTGGAATCGGTATTGTTAATTAATCACATAGGTAGTTTATTTTTATCATTATTATTTCAATCACGAAAAAATCTATTCGTAGACAAATTAATGTTCAAATCAAACCATTTATTTTAATTGAAACATTTAAATTGAAATACTTTTAAAAGTCAATAATACAATAAAAAAAAAATTGAGGCAAATTTGTCACTTTCAATAAACAATCTTATGAGAAAACGCCCTCACAGAAAACCGGTGTGAAGCAACCACAGCGTTGTGTTTCGCCGTGTGAGTGAGGTTACCGGAGGCTCAATCCTTCCCCTCCGCTAATCCCTACCCAACCCCTGATTGTCAAAATCCCTAATCCCCAAAAGGTCGGCAATGCACTCGTAACTTCTCTGTTGTCCATGTGCGGCGCTGATTGCTTACCATCAGGTAATCCGTATGCTTGCTATATACACGTAAAAAAATGACGACAAGAAATTGTATGAACACAAAAAATTTTGGCACTGCTGGGCCAGTAGCCAGAAAAAAACATTTTTAGTCATAACCTTCTGCATACATGCAAATAAAGAAATAATTACACAACCAGTATCGAACCACCACTTAACTAAATGAATTTAAAATCGCGTGCTAATATACTACACTTCCTTTGCAGCAACTGCTGAGCCGATTTGATCGTGCGAAAAAAAACACACACACAAACAGTTTCCGGAAAGAAAAACCTAATTTCCTTCATACTTTTGCGATTTCCACCGGAAATATGTGATTTATGTAACATCACGGCAATATTTATTTCATTAAGGTGTGTTCAGAATTAGAATCTGGACTTGAAAAGAGACTAACCTCTGAGTTTGTTTCGGCATTTCTTCTCAGAGTAGTCAGATAGGAAATGAAATGACGGATTCCTCTAGTTTTTTATATACACGGTGTCCGGTAAAGAATGGATAACCTTGAAATGCCTTTTAGTATATCCTTTGGCCATTCAGAAAAAACAACGAAAAGGAAAGTATCATAGGTAGCACCTAAATTATTATGTCTTGAAGTAAAAGAACTCGGGCTAGAGGTAATATAAAATGAAATTAAACATTCTTTACCGGACACCCTGTATATATAAACTATCTTTTGTCTGCGACTTCCTACGCGTGGAACAGTGACTTCCTGCAGATTTTTGATATAAAAAACTATCCTATGTCCTTTCTCGAGTTCCAAACTATGTCTGTACCAAATTTCACACAAATCGGATGAGTAGTTTAGGTGTGAAGAAAAGACAGACAGACAGAGTTACTTTCGCATTTATAATTTTAGTTTGGAAGTGTTTGGCTCAGTGTAAAAACAAACCAATTTGCACTTACACAAACTTAACTGTTTTAACTATATAATAACTATAACTATATAGATAGTTAGTTTAACTTGAACCGTTTCTTAAACTGTGAAGCAACGCAGTTAACTAACTACCAGTTAGAACAAGGTTGACTTTGTAAATCTTGACTTTAAATTGAAATAAATGTTAACCGTTTATTTATTTATTTTATATAACTACATAGTATAAAACAAAGTCGCTTTCTCTGTCCCTATATCCCTATGTATGCTTAAATCTTTAAAACTACGCAACGGATTTTGATGCGGTTTTTAATAGACAGAGTGATTGAAGAGGAATATTTATGTATAATATAATCAATTTAATTGTGGACAAATTTTGTTCCAACATTGCACCGGGAAGGGTCGCTAGTAATATTATATATAAACTTAAAGTAAGAAAGAAACTGAAAAAAAGCTATTTAAAGTCGCTTATTTCCGAAACTACTGATAGGTGGACTGATAATATCCGCAGGGTGGCTCGCAGTGGTTCGATGAGAGACAATTGGGGAGGTCTAGGTCCAGCAGTGGACGAAATCAGACTAATGATAATGATGACTGATGACTGACACTGATCCCAATAACCTTGTAATAAAATTTAAATTTGAATTCCCCTTTTCCTAACCGTATCTATACCCTTTTTTTCCAGCTGAGAAAAATGCCTTACTCATACACACACCGCCCAGGGAGACGGTGAGGTTATGTGGGGATTGCACCCACTAAAAATTCAACTTTCGTGCCGTCTTCTGCGTTTTGAGAGAAGACACGAGGACCAAAAACGACTTTCGTGACCTCTTGGCAGTGGCTGGTCACTTTTATCTATTGGCGATCCATCACAGAACCCTGTCTATAGCCTATCCTATCTCTTTCTTTCAGAGAGTTAGATCTTCAAATGCTTTCTTCCGCGCTGTGTGGCGAGCGAGAGAGAGAGAGAGAGAGACAGTCAGACTCTTACTGACTAAAATCCACCCCATTCCTTCTTAAGTTTCCTTCCTCCTCATTGCCCTAACCCTGGCTGATTCCTCAAACCCTCAAAGCTGAAAACTCACTTGCGACTCCTCTAGCCTTGTAGGTGTTCATGGACAGCGCAAATTGCTTACCATCATCTAGTAGATAATCCAAAAAAAAAATCTGGATTAAGAAATTAACAATGTTTGGTCTAGATTCCCATGTCATAGGATGTCTGTCTGTACGTACGATAGTATTTTTATGTTAATAAAAACTTGTATTACAGCAATATCGATAGTTAGCATGAGAGATGTGGTGTTGCGTTATCACTCGGGTTTGATTCTTGTGCAAGAAAATAAAACATACTTCTTTTTCTTTTGCTTTTCTCGGGTGGATTATGAGAACAATTTTTTTTTTCTATTTTGAAGTGTTTGAGAAGGAATGTCAGGCTCTTTCTGACTAAAAACCATCCCGTTCTTTCTCCTCCTCCGGGCTGGAGTCGAGGCCACTGGTAATTTTAGGATCAAGCTAATATTAAATAAAATTATTTTTTAACGTTGTACAAATTCACATACCTACACATCACACCCAGACCCGGAACAACAATTTGTGGATTACACAAAGTGGTGTTCCGTGCGGGAATCGAACCTGCGACATTATACACAGCAGCCAGTTGCTCAGACACTTCGTCAACCATGCAGTTGGCAGTCAGGTGGCATTAATAAGGTACAATGGCCTCGGCTTGAGTCGGGAAAAAGGACTCGGTTTTAGTCAGTAAGAGTCTGACACTCCCTCTCGCTTCACCCAGAACTTGAGATGTCATTGTTAATATGAATATAATGTAATACCTGCATCTTATATATAAAAATTTCGTGTCACGTGTTTGTCCGCGGTGGACTCCTAAACTACTAAACCGATTTTAAATTTGATTTGCATTCCGTGTGCATTTTGATCCAACTTAAAAGATAGGATAGCTTACATCTCAATTTATAGTCACAATATTATTTTGAACCGTAGCTACAGCAACGCGTGGCTGGGAATACTACATATATTACCTATATTCTACCTACTCATAAAATGTACATATGTTATGTAGTATCTATATGCTACATATATGGAAGGTTTTTTTCAGTGATTTCAACCGTAACTTG